AAACAGTTATCCAAATAGTGGTTCTTAGATTTCGTCAAGCCATGATAGGCCAACGATGATCGATGAAGACCACTGAGGCATGATCAATGGTCCAAAAGAAGTTTTTCTTTGCTTAGTCATTATGAGCCAGGAATTTATAAGGTTGTCGCCACCTAGGGTGGGTAGTCCTCTATTTTAGATATGATGGACATAGGTGATGTAATTTATATGCTCGGATGTACGATCCTTAGGGATTGTTTTGGAAAAATTCTCGATTTATCTTCGATGACTTACATAAGGAATATCCTAGAATGGTTCTAGATGCAAAATTGCAAACCCATTGACTTACCTATCGGTAAAAGCCAGAGCCTTAGCTATTGAGTGTATCCTCGGATTGTCTTTGGGAGAAACAAATGACCTATATTCCTTGATCTTTTCTTTGTTGTGGGACCTAAAGTACGCTTTGTGGGCGTATTCAGCATGATAAGTGTTATCTTTGGTAAATGGTCAACTAAGTTGTTTAGACATTGATCTTGCTCATTAGACTGTGGATAGAATGCTTTACTAGTAGTATATTAACTTGCTCCTTATAAGATTCAATGCGCTAGTTGAGCGCATCTACGCTAGTTGGGCGCATCAAGAATGAAGGCAAATTGGTCAACAAAATATCTTTAGAGAGGTAATTGCACAAGAAGTAGTGATCTTGAACCACTTCATGTGAGGCGCAAATGGTGGATTCCGTTGTATATGCTTATCGCAAGAGGTGCTGATAAGGCTTATGCTTGGAATATAGAATTACGCAGGCTGTGGTCATATTTTTAGATTGATCACTTATTTGTTGTGAGATGATGAGATATTGATACTATTATGGTTTGTGTCATAATGATTAGCAGATGATGATGTCAGCAGACAAGATTGGCTCACTCACACGAGCAATCGCCCTTGGCGCTTGTGAGCGAGCAAGAATGAGATTAGTGATTTATTTTTTATTTGGAGCCAAGAGAGGCTTAAATTATCCACTATGCATGTCGCCTTTGTTACAACCAAGATGAGGTCGTGTTAAGGACCAAACATGGATGTTAGTACCCACTTTCCATGTTGTGCCTGTTATGATTAGCCAGATGCGTGATCTCATTTGGCGCTTGGAAGGCAAGCAAATAGAGAATTCGGGTTAGGCGCTAGAAAGCGACTAGACTAATATCTGTACAGTGTATCGAATATGACGTCACTCTTTTTGAAGAGTTACTCCACCGTAGCATGTATTCATACTATATGTGCTTGGCGACCGAGTAATGAGGTGAGAGAATGGATCTTTGTTTCCTCACCGTGTGAGTCTTACGTGTCATTATTGATATGACTTTCATTTATGTACCCTTTTGTGACTTTTGACTATGTCATAAGGTAAGGGGTTGATGTTCTGCTACTTTGGTATGTTGCCTGCGGTCATGCATGATTCGGCCTTAAGGGACATCACTGGGAAAGCGGTCAATCCTAAACTAAATGGCATGAGTGCAAAGGGAAGATCATCTAGTATTACACCACTGTTGTATATTCACTGCCGGCAACTCACATCGCTCTGTATGAGAGGCGGATTGAGTGTGAATATATTGCAAGAATTGAGAAGGTTAAACATGCTTTTTTTGAGGGATTAGATATGTTTTTTGGACCAGTGTAATTAGATGGGTCTGGGGTATATGAGACATTATTTCTGTTCTTTTTGGGTTGATGTCTCTATGCTGGCTCATTTTGAGTTTCTAGTATAGAGCTTCCACATGTAGGTGTTCTCAGCAGTCGCACGGTGCATTGGCTAGTATGAGATTGTTCATTTTTTGGGAGATTGAGATAGAGATGTGGCAGTGTCATGCCAATTCATGTGCGAGTGGGAGATGTTAGAAATTGGACGCCCATGTGGCATAACCCTTTGAACCTTTTGAACCTTATCCATATAAGTTTGAATTTGAATTCAAAACTTATTTGGATAACTATTCAAGATATCTATATCTATCATATCAATAGATATAGATAAATGGATAGATAGATATTGGTGGATATATATCTGATTATATATTTCAGATAATATATTCATATATCAGATACGTATATCAGATACGTTATGTGGTTTTTACCCATAACCTTTTTTCCCAGACTCTCTCTCTGACTCTCTCCCATTAAACAACGATCAAGCCATTTTCCACTGTGACTTGTGTGGGTGATACTCATTTTGTAATATCACTCCACTGCTGGGTTCGTTGTTTTTACTCATTACCTTTTTTTCCAGACTCTCTCTCTGACTCTTTCCTATTAAACAACGATCAAGCTATTTTGCACTGTGACTTGTGTGGGTGATACTCATTTGGTAGTATCACTCCACTGCTGAGTTCGTTGTTCTGATTCTGGAAGCACGTGATTTACCCACGAGATTCTATCACCTAAAGGTATGATCTAAATGTTTTTCCCACTGCGTTATAATACTTTATGATTTACAGAGAGGCATCGTAGTGAGATCAGAGGGCAATTCTTGGACATGAGAGCGTTCAGGGGTTTTTTAGTCATTGTGGTTGGAACTCAGTGTTGGAGAGCGTGTGCGGTAAAGCTCCAATACTGGCATGGCCCATGGTGGCAGAGAAGCACTTGAATGAAAGGATGTTGATGGAGGAGATCAAGGTGTGCCTGAGAGTTGAAACCAGCAATGGGTCTGTGAGGGTTTCATTAAGTAGTAGGCTTTGGAGAAAATGGTGAGAGAGCTCATGGACGGTGAGATGGGTAAGGAGGCAAGGATGAAAGTGGAGGAGTTTGGTGAGGCTGCGAGGAAGGCTATGGAGGAAGGAGGCTCATCTTGGCACCCAATGAACCATCTTATTGATGAGTTACAAGCACTAAGAGGTGACAGTTCGAAGCTCTGGTCTTGATGCGAAGTTTTTCTTGCACTAATACTAGAACAAAATAGTTTTCCAGTTATAAATAGGGTAATCCTTCAATGAAATTCTATAAAAGGTGATCAGGTTTCTGCAACCTTATTTGATTTGTACGAACTAATAAAGCCACAATCAAAGGTACCTAGCTTTTCAATTTAGATTCATGTTTACCACCATGTAATATCATTTAGATTTAGATTCATGTTTCTACTTACAGTCCTGTAAAATGATTCTGATCTCCAAAAATTATGTCCTCAACTATTTGCATTTTAAAACTCCATTTCAGATTTGACAATGTACAAAGGTTGTGCAGATATGAACGAATGTTCCACTTACCTCTAGACTCCAGTTAACTGTAAATAACCTACCAGTGCAGCACACTCTCAAATCTCTAACAAGCATTTTAAGGGTTTCATGGAGTTTCAACACTTCCTCGTCCCAAAGCACCTAATTATTCACTTTTGTAAAATTTCAAACCACTGCAACTAATGTCTCAAGAGAAGTGTTCTACGCAAAATTCTGCATATGCATATGCCAACAATTGAAAACCCATGAAACAATAGGTTACATGCCTATGACCGAAACCATTATATAGAGTTTTTTTCAGAGTAGAATGTTCCCGCAACATAAAAAGGACATACTTACAAAATTAAGACCCTGTAATCCAGCTATTTTAGATCAATTTCATAGCAAGAGTAACTTAGTACACATAGGTCATGTTTGATTCACAAGACTAATAGTGAAGTATTAATAATCCTATTAAATTAGTGTAGTATTCATTATCCAATTGGATTAATATCCATTGGATTAATAATCCCACCCCTACCCCATTACTAATAATCCTACAAATTTATTGGATTAATTATCCATTAAATTAATAATCCTAAACCAAAATGTTAAAACAAACATAGGATAATTGGGCCTACGGATTAATAATCCTAATCACATACTCTAATCCTTCCAATCAAACATGCTCATAAGGATGATAATGATGGTATATGAACATAGCTCTTCTCACTGTTTTCTCCAGATCCCTCCTCAGCTGAAGAGAGAAGTCATCATTGACATCATCGTCATCCCAATCATCTTCCCATTGCTGTGTTGTTTCTTTCCCTTAATATCATCCCACTCTGTTATATTAATGAAATGTGGAAATCAAGTTGACAAAAACGGTATACATTAAAAACACCATGAGTATGGTGAAAAACCTATCCTTCTATCATAGCAACAAATAGGAAGAATAAGAAAAGGCTAGACACGAGCATTCACAATGATCACGAGTAGTAGAAATATATTTCATCCGACAATGAAATTGCATTAATACAAGTGTGCAAGTACGTGTGCATAGGTGGATGTGCCTGGACACAACTTTAAAATACTTGTTTGCTGATCAGACATGTCCTGCACCAATCATGTTGAAATGGATGAAGTTTGGGAAGCAGACGAGTTCAAGTATAGAGTTTCGGTTTCAAACATATCAGACATTTTAAATACAAGTACGTCAATTTCAAGGAATTCACAAACATTATCCAAAAAACTCAACCTGAAAATTTGTTATCCCATATTCAGAATATTTCATAGATGCCTACCCCCCTCCCCCCAACCAAAAAAAAAAAATCCTAAATGGTTTCATAGAATACCGAGCCCCCAAAAATAATGTTTTGTTTTGTACAGATCCCCAAATAATGAGGTCGTAAGTGACTCAATTGCATGTCAAACTCCTCCATCCATTATCTCCCGAAAAAGCACAAACAACCCAGATCAGTGCAGGCTATTTTTCAACTCAACCCACCTACCCCTTCGCCACCCACCACCTCCACAGGCCAAGAAAACAGGTACATTAGCAGCGAAAAAAAAGCCAAGAAACCAAAAGGCACAAGCTGAAACAGATGTGAATCTTTGAAGGTAAAAGGGTTTTGAAAACCCTCTATGCGCTGCCACCCCCTACCCCACTTGCCACCTCCCTCACCCATTCTCCCACCCTCTCTCACTGCCACCAGCTCTCCCCAACACCTCCTCCCTGGCGCTCCCTCGCCACCCACTCTCAGCCCCTCCTCACCCTTCCTGGCCACCACCTGCAAGCCCCTCTCCTCCCTATATGCAGCCCCTCCCTCCCCCTCCCCAAGGCCGCCAACCCCTCTTCTCCCCACCTGCACACTTAGCATTAACTGTCAATTAGCATTGACTTTCAAGCACCAATGAGAAGTAAACAGTATCTCATTCTAATCATTGTAGTTAAACAATTTCACTTTCAGACACACCTAACTACCAAAGAGAGCTCAATCCCATTCATTCTGTTGTGCCCCCACTAATTTGAACCTTGAACTAATCATGACAGTTGGAATGACAGTAAAATCCAAGAGACTGCTGTGTATTCATATACAAATTTTACATTGTCAATGCTAATAATGACTAATTTACAATAGTAATTAATATAGATTCCCATTTACGCCATTTTTAAAATTCTTGATTAGTAATTTCATAGGCTACAATGTCTTCCTAGTTGCAGGCATATTCCAGGATGATCACTAGCTGTTAATTAATGTTATGAAAGCCATTATGAGTATTAAACTTCCCAGGATGATTACTAGCTGTTAATTAATGTTATAAAGGCCATTATTGAATATTAAACTATGGAGGTCTTGTTTTTTTCTTTCACAACGTAGATGAGAAAAGAAAAGGAATTGTAAAAGTCCAAAAGAAAAGAATAAACCTAAGAAACAAAACACATTTAGAATATGGTGCCCATTGTTGTTCCTTTGAGCTTCTGTTAGCCGGCAACCACATCCTTGTCAATGCAAGCTAAAGACAAATTTTGTGATTTTGTTTGATTATTAAAAAATTTCAATCGGACGGTGCATCCGAAACTTTCTCAATCATTTTCTGCCTACAAAATTCTATTTAGTAATAGGCACGGGATCCTCTGTACCTAAAAAGTAGCTGTCATCCTGTCCCATATCCTCACAGACACACGATCTGATCTGGTATGAATTTTTCTATACTTTTCTTGAAAATGCAAAAAATCAAATCCAACACCACATTCCAATCATTGGAATTCCAAAAATTTGTAGTGCAAACAAGCCTGCCGTCAACAAAGTTCTCTTCTAAAGAGTAACTCAAATATAAGATCTATGCTAAAAAACTTTGCCCTCTTGTCTTTGTTTGCATAATAAATGCAAGAACTCATGCCTCAGAAACCTCAAACTCTAGATTTTATGGTTTCTTTATAGTAGGACCATATGATATGGATGAATCCATATTATACACTCATAACACTAAATACCCAAAACTATGCTTTATTATCTACATCTTCATCTTGACCACCACCATCAAGTTTTCGGTTTCTCAGCCTTCCAGCGATTGTGATCTTTACTTGCAAATTATTCCACCCCCAAATAGCTCAACTTGTGAATGGGGAGAGTGGGGAGGTTTCCTAGATAACCGCTGCTGTGGAGGAGCATTTAATGACTACCTCAATGTGTTGGGATGGCGGGCGAATCAAACAGGTAAAATATTCTTGAATGACACTGAACAGACGGATTGCTTGACTAAAGTGATCGTGGGTTGTGGGATTGAGAAACTGACAAGTGGCAGTGGTGGCTGTTCCGATTTCTCTGTTGATGATGTCACTCACAAGTTGGGAGATAAACTCAGAAATTTACGGGAAAATTGCCAATTTCTGAGCCCTGATGAAGAGAATCAGTCATGCCGTGATTGTGTGAGGAGTTGGAAAGACATAAAAGGAACACACTCAGATCAAAATGGCCAACCTGCGGAGACTGAATCTGATCTATGCAGGTTTGCTGTGTTGGTATCATTAACAAGTAGTCAGATTGAAGATCGGACGTGGGATGGAAAAATTTACAAATGCCTTGGGAAGCAGGACAACTACACTGGTGAGCGGCTTAAATTCCTTGAATGAAATCTCTAGATTTTTCCTAACCATGTATGCATTATAAGCTACACTTTTGTTTTTTCCCATCACCATCTAAGTATGAAGTGGTATAAACATCTCTAGCTAACCTGTTTGTTTCTGCAGAAAATGCAACAGTAAATATTGCAGAAAATAGAACAGGAAACAATAAAAATAACTCAGGTGATTCTTGTCATCACATCACCAGTTACACTAACAAATATGCAACATTTCATATGGGATGTTCTTTATTCTTACAGCATGAAAATTTAACATAGAAACAGATAAAATTGGGATAATTGCAGGTGTCGTTGGGGCTTCAGCGATTATCATTTTCTTTACATTGGTCATGTTAAAAAAGAAGTGGTATAAATCAAACGTGGCACCCAGGAAAAATGGTAATTTACTCTATTTTACACTTGCATACAGAGCTACCAAATTGATATTGCATGTGCATATCGTATAAACTTATATTGCTCAACAGCATCGAAGTGTGTATTACCAGACAAATCCGGTAACCTAAAACTCTCAGTTAGGGAGGTTTATGCTGCCACAAACAATCTAAGTGAATCAAATTTCATCGGGGAAGGAACTGTAGGTGAGCATCTACATAAAGCATTATGTCAACATGAATAAATGTCGGTTCATATTTATGAAATTCATGTTAATGCCAAATGAAACTTTATCGCTTGTGTAAAAATTGATATTTAATTCTACTGTAATATCAGGAAAGGTATATAAAGGGATACTGTCAAATAAGAAGCCTGTTGCAGTTAAGCACATTTTCAACGACAAACATGTACAGACTTTCCTGAGGGAAGTTAGCAGCCTCTCATGCATCAGACACCCAAACCTCGTGGCTTTGCTTGGTTGTTGTGAAAATGAAGATGAATTTTTCCTTGTACATGAACTGTGTCCGAATGGAAACCTTGCAGAGTGGCTTTTTGGTAATATCATCATGAAGTGTTTTTCTTTTTTTCTTTCAATTTCATACCTGCATTTCATTATATCACTTCTGAGTACAAAATTCATACACAACAGGGAAGGATAAAGTACTCACCTGGATTCAAAGGCTCGAGATTGCAATTGATAGTGCGCGAGGACTTTGGTTTCTCCACACATACCCCAAAGGATGCATTGTTCACCGTGATATCAAGGTCAGTCCCAATGCCATAGACCCTCTCATTTCTCTTTCCTGATCAATGCTAAATATTTTTGTTCCCTTTTGCAGCCAACAAACATACTCCTTGGGACAAACTTTGAAGCCAAACTTTCAGACTTTGGATTGTCGAAGGTTATTGACCCTGGTGAAAGCTATGCGAGCTCAGAAGTAAGAGGAACTTTTGGCTATGTTGATCCTGAGTACCAAAGCAACAGCAAAGTAAATTCTTCAGGTGATGTCTACAGCTTTGGGATAGTACTTCTGCAGATCATTTCTGGGAAGAAGGTTATAAACATGAATCTCAATAGACCAATCTCACTAGACAAAATGGTTAGACACTAATGCCTCTCAGTTGTTCATCTATTCATAATTTGTGAGTTTCCACTTTCATTCATATACACTACGTTGTTCTTTTTTTCCTTTATTATTTTTTGGTGCTCATGCTCAGGCGAAATCTCTCATCAGAGGTGGCAGCATAGTAGAATTTGTGGATCCAAAACTCAATGCAGAGTACTCGTCAGAAGCTTTTGACATGACATTTAAACTAGCTGTGTCATGCACATCGCTGAAACAAAAACGACCATCCATGGAACAAGTTGTCCAAACACTGGAAGAGGCCCTGAATATGTCAACAAGGGAGACAGGTTCTACTCCTTATGCTACACCAGATCATCCTTCAACACCATAATAGAGAATTCTTGAGTAGCTTTTCACATTTTGAGATAGAATTATACAAAATTTTGTTGGGTTTCTGTTGTAATAAATACCAAATAGGCGCACAGAGCCAGGTTCATAACCGCAAACTCATTTCTAGAATTTAATGGCTTTACAGAAACCCCTAACTAATAACAAAGTTTGGTTCTACAAAACTCAGAAACAAAATGAAGCAAAGATAAATAGATGATACAAATTTTATGTAACAGTAGTTATTATTCAGAAGATTCAACCTTACATATAGATGATATACCATTTCTTGTTCATACTTATTGATTACTGAGACGGAAAACCAGAGAGAGAAAATTACAACCATGCTGGACTTTTCAAAGGAGTAACAACAGCCTTAACTTGCAGGTAGTTATTAAGGCTGTAGATACCCTTTTCTCTTCCCTGCCCGCTCATCTTGTACCCACCAAAAGGAATTGCAGCATCGAAGATGTCAAAGCAATTAATCCAAACTGTCCCAGCTTTCAATGCACGCGTCAAAGTGTTGGCAGTGTCTATGTTCTGAGTAAAAACTCCAGCAGCCAGCCCATAGCGAGTCATATTTGCCCTTCGAATCACCTCGTCGAGATCCCTATTATAGTTTAAAGTAAGCATAACAGAGAAGTATAAACGAGAAATTTCTCAGATCATTCACAAACTCACTTGAATTTCAAGATGGACTGTACGGGGCCAAATATCTCGTCTTTTGCTATCAACATGTTGTCCTAATCAGTGAAAAGGGTCAAAAATCAAGTTAGTCATACTTATCTTTTGTTTTTCGTAGTGGTTCATATTGCAAAGGCGGTTGCAGATTACCTGGACATTTGAGAAAACAGTAGGTTGAATATAATAGCCTTTGGACCCAAATCTTTCACCTCCAGATTCAAGAGTAGCACCGCCTTCAATACCAGACCTAATGTACTTCAGAATCTTCTTAAACTGCTCGGAATCAATCTGAATTTGTTTAAAATTGCCACAATGAAATCAGTTTCTTCCTCACGTTCTTAGGGAAAAGCAGTACAACTAGGTCCACATAAGTTTTACCTGAGGACCTTGTTCAACACCCTTTTTGAAGGGATCACCAACTACACGTTTTAAAGCGAGTGCCTTTGCTTTCTCTATAAATTCATCATACACACGTTCATGTACAAATGTACGAGATCCAGCACAGCAACACTGTCCCTGTAGAAAGCAGTATAAATGTAATCATGTTATTATGGTAAGAACTTCAAACAGTTCCAGCTTGTTATACAGAAGAGATACGAGAACAAACCTGATTGAAGAACAGGGCAAGGTGTGCGAGCTCAACAGCCGTATCAACATCAGCATCCTCACACACAATGACAGGAGATTTCCCTCCAAGCTCTAAAGTCACTGGCTTAAGATTGCTTTTTGCTGCTAACCCAAGTACAATCTTACCAGTGTCAGTAGACCCCGTGAAAGCAAGCTGCAAAGGAGGTATGTAATGTCATGATTACTATTTCAACTCAACTCAACAAGCCTCTGTCCCGATCATGATTATTGTTTGAACTCCATAAATTTTTAACTTCATTCCCACCAAAATAAGTGGGCATCAAAGCTAGCACATATGAAATCAGTGCCCAAGTGAGGTGAACATTTAACCCAAAAGATTATATGAAGTTATTCCAGTTTTTAAGAAAGGTATAAAGGCAAAAACCATGAGAAATAAGACAACAGCAGGGTTAAAACCATTTTTTTGGGTGAATGGGTTTAAACCATTGTTGAGGTTGAATTTCACCAAACCCCTATCCGCGAAAATGATAGTTTAGATGGGTTGGACCATAAAAGAGGATGTTGCTTACTTTCAAGTTTAAAAAACATGATTTATGTAGATACGTCAATGTCACAGTTAATATGTTTCATAAATCATCTTTCTCAATTTGGGATTCAGAAGCAGAATTCGAAGCTTCTAAAAGTACCTTATCCACATCCATATGACTAGCCAGTGCTGCTCCAGCAGTAGGACCAAAGCCAGAAATAACATTCAAAACACCAGGAGGAAGTCCAGCCTTTCACACCAAAAGGAAATTGAAACAGTTATATCAATTAGCTTAGCTTGATTTTTACAATAAAATTTCTCATAAAAAACAAGAAACCAAATCAGAACTTTCAACAAATGTACAATATGATTTCCAAAGAGACACAACGAACTAGACGAGAGAAAAAAGATACAGCTACAGCCTAACATGTGATCACATATGAGATGAACAAAGAAAAAAGGATATGGCCACGCACGCATGTACAAACATGTGATCATTAACCCTACCTCATGAAATAACTTCGACACATACAGGGCAGACAATGGTGTCTGTTCAGCGGTTTTCAGTACAACAGTATTACCACACGCTAATGCGGGCCCAACCTTCCAAGCATACATCAGAAGAGGAAAATTCCATGGAATAATTTGTCCTGCAACACCTATGGGTTCATGCAGGGTCTGGACATGGTATGGCCCATCAGCGGGAACTGTAAGCCCATGAATCTTATCCGCCCAACCTAAGAAAATTATAAAGACAATCCTCAGACACCAATCACTTAACAAGAAAATATATAGATCTATGACACAAAATAAATTTTATGATCACCCCTACCAGCATAGTATCTAAAAAGGCGTATCAACAATGGTATTTCTTCATTTGCAGCCTGTTCATAAGGCTTCCCATTATCCCAAGTTTCAAGAGCCGCAATATGATCACGGTGCTTCTCAAGCAAATCAGCAAACCGCAACATTATTCGTGATCTTTCCTGAAAAAGTTTAACAACAAAGATTACATTACGTAACTCATATTTCAAAATTGTTTGAAGTTAAAATAAGAATAAAGAAGGAAACAAAAGGAAAGAAAGTACAAAGCAAATGATCAATGTGTGATATTCTTACATAAGCAGTCATCTTTGGCCATGGTCCTTCGTCGAATGCTTTGCGAGCAGCAGACACTGCTTGGTTGACATCTTCAGCCTCACCTTCAGCGACATGAGCAATCACATCTCCTGTCCTGGGATCCAGGGTTGGAAATTTTTTCCCTATAGTCATACAATTTGCAAAAATTCAGTTTCACTACACATTCTTGAATTGAAGGAACATCAAGATAGAAACTTGAAGGCCTATAATATATTGTAAAAGGTATCATAACCAAAATATCTACTTAGTGTTTTGAATCAAAGGATGATAACACACCTGATGTGGAATCCACGAATTGTCCATTGATGAGAAGCTGGGTATAATCTATTTGAACAGGCGGTGTGATTGGTTCCTCAAATGCAACAGCGGTACTAAACCTATTGATGCCTCTGCCCCAGTTAGAGTACCGACCTGAAATTACAATTTTTTGATCAGTGAGGCATCAATCAATCACATGCCTCATAATACTTACAATTACAGACTATCATCCGTGTTTAACATATGCATTTTTAAAAGAATGCCACAGTTCAATATCCTCATACACAACACGTAACGTAACCTATTATCTATTTGCTAATAAGTCCTTCGAGTCTGAGCAAAAGATCAGAAAGAAACCAATGAATACATATTCTCAGGCAAATTCTAATACTTTACCCGCGTACAGAAAGCTAACTCAACTTTCAGTATGAAAACAAGCATTACAGATACATAAAGAAAGAAATGCTACACCAACAAAACATTTGGTTTTCTCTTCTAAACAGAGAGTTAAGATCATTAATACAGCACAAACACACATAGAAAGTTCGAGTTGTATTCATGTTCATAGCTGGGATATAATGAACAATTAAATAAAAACATTGTTTCCTATTCCAAACATATTTGACTCAGATTCATATTATGATTTTGTGGTGTTACTGATTGATTGGGCAACACGAGGACATAATAAATGATGAAGATTGATGAGGGCGCATGGAGTACCTCATAATTTTTCCAAGAGTAACAAGAAATTACAGACGTGCAGCCTTGCCGTTACCCCCCAAAAAAATGAATATAAAAAATTCAGAATAAAGGAGCTTTACAGCAAAAACATTTAAACAAAGCAAGTTTTTAAAAACAAATAAATTTAAAATAAAAAGAAAGGCGCATAAGATAAAAAAAAATTATCCGATCCGATTATATTTGTGTTAACCTGATTTTAATAAAAAAATATGTTCGGGATAACATTAACGGAGTAGGTGAAACTATAAGGCTGTGTTATTTAGGAAATTTAGGAAGGAATGTAAATATATATATATATATATATGGCGCATAAGATAAAAAAAAAATTAACCGATCGGATTATATTTGTGTTAACCTGATTTTAATAAAAAAATATGTTCGGGATAACATTAACGGAGTAGGTGAAACTATAAGGCTGTGTTATTTAGGAAATTTAGGAAGGAATGTAAATATATATATATATATATATGCATAAAATTAGATAAAATATAAATATATTCTATTCGTATTTTCTCTTTTGCAAATCTCTTCTCTAATTCCAGCCGCACACAGCATAACCTAATTCCAGCCGCACACAGCATAAAGAGAAGGTAGGTAAAATAAAATACAAAGTCATACTGCTACCGTTTGGGCTAATTTAGACCGATAAAATTGATTATTTTAATTAAATAAAATAAAATATCACATTTAAATTATAATTATTTTATTTTTTTCTTACAAAAACAAAAAAAAATGAAAAAACCAACTCACCTTCCTAGCTTAAAATAGTTTTGAGTACAACATCAAGATTTAGCATTAAAAAATAAAAAAAAAAAACTAATAATTATAAAACTGATACTTTTACAAAATTGATAGTAGGGTCGGGTGTCTGCTCCTCAACCCACATCAATATTGGAAAGGAATCTAATTATAAAACTTTTTGAGAAAATTTTTAAGTATTCTTTCAGGGAATATCACTGAAGCAGAAACTTCAAAATCACTGGAAAAAGAACAAGAAGAATGATATAATTGTGATTCGAAGAATGTAAAACAGAATCCAACATATTGTCATTTGAAAAGTAACGATCAATCCCAATTTCCCCAACACTAGACTCGCCTAAAAGTCATAATAAACTCGCGCTTTTCATACACAGAAGTGAAAGAGAGATGGGTTACCGAAAGAGAGAGAGGAAAGAGAAGAAGGAGAGAGCAGAGAAGAGATCCTCCGAGCCGCCATGGTCGGCTAAGCTTTGAAAGGTTCAGAGAACTGAGAAAAGAGTCTGCGACTCTCCGCGTGTATGAAATTAAAGCGAGAGAGAGAGAGAGAGAGAGAGATGAGTTAGCTGTAGACGAGAGTTATGAGTTGGGTGAGTATTGTTGGAGTATAAAGGTGACATGTAAGAGAGCAGCAATGATGCTGTATTCAGAAAGATGACGACTCACCAGCGAAAAAAAAGGTAAAGGTATGTATGTCCTCTTTTGGACGTTTGTAAAAAATCAATTTTTATATTTTTATTAATTTTAAATTATATCATCTTTCACATAATTTATTTATAAAAAGATAAAATAAATTTTTTAAAAAAAAAAGTTAAGAAATTAAGGGTTCCTTTATTTTGCATTTCTGAAAAATTTTTAAAAAATTTTCTCTACAAATAAATTTTTAAAAGTAATCAAACCAAATAAATTTTTTCAAAAAAATTTCTCAAAACTTGTAAACCAAACAAGTTTTCCAAACAAATCTTTCTCCCACACCCATCAAATCAATCACTTTTTCCAAAATTCTCTCTGAAAATAATTTTTTAAAACATCTTTTGAAAAAAATCAAACCAAATAACTTTTCGTACTTTTTATCTCTAAAACACATCTCTCAAATACAAACCAAACATACCTTAATTTTTTACTCATTTTTCAGAACACCCCACATGTAAGAGAGGTTTTTTTTTCTTTGTGGGTGGATGGATAAACTCTCGTTGATTATTTGAAACTGATTGATTAGACAGTTTTTCCAGCACAGGGAAAGGCTACCACAACTCCGGATCCTATCAAGGCTTTGCTTTTGGGTTGGCGTTCGTTGCGTGTTGGCGTAGTGGTGGCCGTGGGGTGGTGGTGAGGTGAGAGTATGGGAAAAATGATTTAGGTCTTGTTTGCTTTATGTTTCTTAAAAATTTTTGAAAAAAATTCTTTACAAATAAATTTTTTAAAGTAATCAAACCAAATAAATTTTTTCAAATTTTTTTTTTAAAATTTGTTTAATTTACAAGTTTTCCAAACAAATCTCTCTCTCATACACATCAAATCAATTATTTTTTTCAAAACTCTCTCTCAAAATAATTTTTCAAAACATCTTTTGAAAAAAACCAAACCAAATAACTTTTCGTACTTTTTATCTCTAAAACTCATCTCCCGAACTCAAACCAAACATACCCTTAGACTTTTAAAAAAAGAGCTTTAATAGAGCTTTAATTTGTCTTTTTGCTTTTCTTTTTTTTTTTTTTTTTTTTTTTTTTTTTTTTTTTTTTTTCATAGACAGCTCATTAGAGCTGTACTGCAGCAGCTCTAATTAGAGCTCTGCAGCCGCTCCGGAAAGTACGGTGATATTCAGGTTTAATTTGAGAATTTGATTAAAAATTAATTTTTAATTTTTAATTTATTTTAAATCATATTATTTTTTTATTTTTTTATATATTTTTTTTAAAAAGTTAAGAAATTAATTTTTAACTAATTTCTCAAAACAAACATAAGGCTTGAAAGTAAAATTTAATTTCTTAAGTATTGTTATTTAGATTTAAAAGTTGTATTTACTTTCTTGATTTAGTGATATGTTAATAACTAATTATTTTCTTCACACATTACTATATTTAAAAAAATAGGTTTAAAAAGTAATTTTTTATATCATTTTCTTGATTTTATTTATTTATTTATTTTTACAAAAGACATGTAAAAAGTTTATTAAGTGATGTGATAAAATATTTTGTTTTATTTGTTAATTTATTCCAAACACCCCTAGTATTATTTTAATCCGAAAAATGATTTTCGCCTTTTAAAAATAAAAACTATTATCTATCAGAATAGGTTTATTTTTTGTCGATCATAAAAAATATTTTCTTTGACAAATACCAAAAAATAAGAATTTTTTTTTTCTAGAAAATATTTTATATCCAAACAAACATAGTTTAATATGTATTGTAATATTTTATTTGTTAAAAGTATTACATGAATAATACATATTTGATAATTAAAAAAAAATTGAGGGGCAGGGCGGATTACGCCCTAGTGGAAGGCAGAATAAAAATACAAATTGATAAAAATAAAATAAAATAAAATAAATTACTACAAAGTTAATTACAGTATTAATATTTATAAAATCTTCTATTGATTTGTAATTACTTTTTGAAAAACCCACTGATATGACATTTTTCTTTTTTCTTTGTTTTGTTATGATTGATGGGGGAGATTATATGTATCAAAAGATTATTTATTGACGGTGTTCACGTATGAAAAAATTTCACCATTGATATGTTTTATGTATTAAAATTTATATTTATTTTCTATATTCCTAAACTCATTGGCAAACATTTGGTTAGGAATTGAGTTAATCCATGAGTCGTGTCATGAAGAAAGAATTGCAAACCAATAATGGAAGCTGGTAATCATGCTGTATATGCCTTCTCAGAAGCCATAATAGCATGGGCAACACAAGAGTGGTGTTATTTGATCCCTAAAGCTGTTTTACTTTATTTAAAAATTTATTAAAAATTAGATTATTTTGTAAATAAATTAAATTTAAATATAATTCATAACTTAATTAAGTTTTTAAGACAAATAAACAATTGGGCTATGTTAGGTAGCTACTTCTCCCTATCAGAGGCAAAAATTAGACATTTCATTTATATTAGAGGGAATTTCTTTGATTGATTATTTCTTTCCCATTATTCGAGTGTTAGTAGTACTTGTTTTGGTATTTAAAATTATAAATATTTTCTTACTGTTCAACACAATAAAATAAAATAAAAAATTCAAAACTACATTTTATTACTTGACTCGGTTTGATTATATATTACCAAAAACAAGCTATTTAAACTCAATTATATTACAAAAAACAAATATTTGAACGCAATTCAATTAAAACCCTTTCATTATTAACTTGTAAACAAAATAAATCAAATTTAAATACATTTTAAAACTCATTAAATAAACACCTTACCCAACAATTTTTTAAACATGAAATTATATCATATGCAATATATTAAGGTTATCCCAGAAAATCCAACTTAAATTTTGCTGGATATATGATTGTATAATGCAGATTAAATTAATATTATTTAAATTTGAAATAAATCATGATATTTTTTTAATAAAATTTGGGTAAAGGAACGACTCAACCATCTAATAAATTGATATTTTTTAATAAAATTTGGGTAAAGGAACAACTCACCCATCTAATCAGATGTCAACTAACAAATAGAAGGTTGGGTGGGTTATATGGGTCATTTTCAAAAGGGTTTGGTGGTGTCTCATTTTTCCACCAACGTGAAGAAAACTTATTTGGTGTTCGTGGGACAGAGGTCACGTTTAGTATAGTTGTGAAAAAGTAATTGTAATTTATAAGTTAACAGTTTATAACTTATAATTATAAATATAAATTGATTTTTAATTTATAAATTAAGGTTCTCCTCCCTCACCCAAAGAATAAGTTAATTTTGACTTATAAAAAGCTATAAGCTGTATAATTAAGCTGAACCAAACATATCAAAATAGCTTAAATTAAGTTAAAAGTTAAAATAAAATAGAAATAATTCCTACCAAATAGGGCCATAGTCAAGTTAAGCTTTGTGATCGTTGAAAAGAATAGGACTCATAATTTGATATTGGGTTATAAAGGAATAATAAAAAAATATGACATTTGGTAATTTATAAGAATATTATCACATGATAAGCTAAGGCCACTCAACAATTTTTTCAACTTGCATGGGTCAATAATTTTTCCAACTTGCATGGGTCATCAGTTGCTGAGCTTATTGAATGAAGAAATAATTGGCATTTATAGTAATTTGGAAGGTACTGCCACTAGGAAATTTGAATTGATTTAACTTTGCAAACACAACCTTTTTTGGCTATCCGAATCCTTTTATGCTAAGAAATTGACATCCAAAATTGGAGTCTGCAATTTACAGATTTTCTTCAATAAGGGTTAGTCGGTTCATGACTCGAAGTTCTTGTTAGCATTCTCTTACTCAGGATAGAATTAGGAGAAAATTATAAGCCGTCATGGCCTTTTTGTGAAAAATTTTATTTGTCATAGTATTTGTAAATGTATATATATATATATATATATATATTATTTTATAAATAAAATGATCTCTTAATATAAAAGATATATATATATCTTATTCTTATTTCTTTTTGCATTCTCTTTTTGTTTTTTACCAAAATATTTTTTTATCCTATTAAAAATTGTTTATATGATATCTGAAATTTTTTTATATGTATAAATATAATTTATATATTGTATTTTATATACATGTTTATTTGTCTATACGATGAAAAAATATTATTTATCTTTTAACCTCTACGATGATAAAATCATAATTTCATCTTACGCTTACTCTTTACATGAAATTCAATTTGACATTTCTTGATTTTTAAATTGTCTTAATCAATCGTTACATTTCAATCAAGTTGTGATTTTTGTCTATTTAGATAACTTCATTTCAAAAACTATTGGACCTTTCAATCAAGTTGTGATTTTGTCTATTTAGATAACTCCATTTCAAAAACTATTGGACAACCATCACGTAAACTCCTACGTTTTTTTTTTTTTAATCAAAAATTCACTTAGTACCCTTCTCACTTGAGCTCTTAATACCCTCATATTTTTATTAAAATCTTATTTTAGTCTCTTTACTGTAGTTTATCCATTAATTTTAAAATAACATTGTATGACTAGGTCTAAGAGTTTGTTTAGAAAGTGTGTTGGCTTTTTAATTTTTTGACTATTTTAGTCTGGGACTTAAATGTTTCGTTTGGGATGAATTTTTTGACTTTTGTGAAAGAAAGAATGTAATAATTATACATTGGACATGATATTTTATCTTATTAGACTAAAAGACCTATTTTATTTTTTTTATGGCTATTTTAGTCTAAAAAACCCCAAACCTAACTTCTCAAACGAAACGGAGTTGGTTTCCCCATGGGACTGTCGAGCTTGCATTCTGGACATCCGCTCAATGGGATTGGGAACCTCTTTCTCTCTCTCTTGGAGTCCCAGAGCCGCTAATGGCGTTGCTCACTGGATTGCTTCCACTCATTTATGAGGTGCTCTACCTTTGAAATGGGTTAGTTCTCCCTCCTCTCCTTTGAAGGATCTGTTAAATTTTGATGTTTTGTAATTGGTTCAGTTTTTACCCGTTCA